TATGGAAAGTTGGTTCTTAAGAGTCTCGGTTCCCTTCTGCATACTACAATGCAGATTTCTTCTAAATATACAAGGGCCATCCACATTTTCATAGACCAACCAACTACTCCAGGTTAATCCAATTGGAAAGGAAAAAAAAATACAATTGGTCACAGATGAATCGTAATAAATAAATACACACTTCAATAAACGAGTTTTCTCTCCGTTCATTTCTCGCTACTTTGGAATGTTAATCCACCTACATAAGGTACTAGAGTCTTTAAATTCAAATTCAGACAACATTAGTCGCAAGCATACTCCAATAGTTAAAGCTTGGAAATTAAAAAGCGCAAACATGCATCCACTCCGAGCTCCAATAGTTTGCTAAAATCAAATAGATGAATTTCGTAAAATATTCAAAGCATGCAAAAGTGAACAGCCTAACAAGAGAACCCATGATTTAAAATGTAATGAAACTGAAGGAGAATAAAGACAAGGGAAAATATCATAACTTATTATCTCAGAAAAGCAAAATCAAACCCTTGCGTAAATAGACTGAAAGCACCAAAAATGCCTTAAGGAGCCAAAAGCACACTGCAAAAGCAGGGGAACCAACAGCTCTTGGTGACAGAAATTTTTGTGCACGAAACCTTGTTTACATGGCACTAACAGAGGACACATATACAGACAAAGAGGCCTGTTTTTGTTGATTGTAGTGTTAAAAGATTGTGTTTAGACGGAAGTTATCTGTGAGAAACCCCTTAAACTGAGGAACAGTTCAGATCCCAGGAATAATACCAAAGCTTCAAACAGTCCAATTCCAACTGCAAATAAAGATATAGATACGAAAGTTAATTGTTTCCTCTAAACTATCCCACCAGAAGCTTTATTATCCGGACTCGGATTTGGACTAACCCCTCCTGTAGAGCAGCAATTCAATTAACTAAATTTGAAATCATCAGTTGACTATTTCTATCCCCAATTATGGTACAAAGACATGCTTGCGAAGAACATAATGGAGTTACACTCTCAGGCTGTCAGCTAGATTTCACCTGATGTCAAGTCTTCAATGACTTTCTTTGACAGATGATCAGCCACAAAAACGTAGCGACAAGGACAAGAATATTAAACAGCTAACTAAAGCCTAAAGGTTCTCGCCTTGGGAAACCTTTGATCAAAGTCCACTGCTTTTCTGTCATATGTCCTAATCAACCAAAACAGAAGCCTAAAAACTTAAGTTAACTAAGCCTTCAACCTGAAATAGATGGGTTACATTTGCATAACACTAGTCTTGACTAAATACAAAAAAGACATTTAAGTATCAATAATGATCAACAGAAAACAGCATCCATAAAGGCCTACAAATAAATCAAATTTCCAAATCTAAACAAAAGGATACTAGCAAAGTAGCAATGGATAACCACTGAAGCAACTTACACCTAATTGTATAAGATGTCTCCATCAGCAGCTCCAGAGGGTCAGCGGCCTGGTCCAGCAAGTAGAAAAGCATTGCTTGCTCTCTTTTGACATCCAAAAATTTTTATTCATCTACAGATATTTCCTTCTCGCTACAATCAAAAACATTAGGTGTTGCAAGTATGCCCAAATATCATGAAGCTCAACATATAGACACAATAATAAGGTGAATTAAAGGCCTTAAGAAAGTTCTGCAATTAAACTTGAATAATTTGATCAAATTCAAGATTCCTGCTGGAGATTCAGCCTCCTTTTCTCCCTTGAGATCCCACTCAACAAAAGCTAAGCTCTCCTGATTTCTTCCTTTCTGCACTCTGCAGATAACAGCAATTGGACAAGTGGTTATAACATACCTTAAGCTTTAAATTCTAGGCTCAAAATTTATAGAAATTTGGTTCTCATTTTCAGATGGGCGTGAAAAATGAGCAGTGCTAAGAAAACTGCACATGGCATCTAAATACAAAATTGTATATCAATTTTCCCAAGTTCATTACATCTGCAAGAGGTATAGCGCGAGTGTGAACTGAAATTTAATTTACCATGCTTAAAGCTAGATATCTGCTACCTTTCTCATAGCATCATTGACAGTTCAATCTATCAGTTTAAAATGCAACATCATCATCATAGTACTACAGTAAAGTAAATCAAACAAAACTGACGACTTCACATTTCCATAACAACAGATCAACACACAGTTACAGCACAAGAAATATGACTGTCATGTTAAATGAGCAATCTTTCTACTATACTTTCAATGACTTTACAACTAACAGCAACAACCGCTCGCAAGGATTAAAAGCTCTCTTCTTTTAATCTTTCCATTCTTTCTTCTCTTATTTCAAGTGTTCAAATATCAGTCAATGAACTCCAATAGCCCCCCACAAAAAGAAAAAGCATGAATTCCCATGTCAACTTTATCAAGTGACAACCCTTTTCTGAATACAAACGTTCATTCTTTTTTTCCTTGCCAACTAGCCTACCACAACCACAATTGGTTTTCCCCTAAAAAAATAACTAATGCATTTACTACTCTACATTAACCTGTCTGATAAGCTCGGAAGCCGCCTGAAGAAGTTTAAGCTAGTCGGCGGCATGGGATCCCTAAACATTGGATGCCTCAAGTAGTAAAATCCCAGTGCCACAGCCACCATTTTTGCTGGCACCACGTATAGTATCACTGTAATGACTAAGCACACCCCAATGAATAATTTCGTCGCTCGTGGGTCTCTCCAGCTCACCAGGGCTTGAACTCTCTCTCCTTGGGTTGCAAAATCACCCAGCACTGTTTGCACTCTTCCCGCCAATATTCTCAGCCTGTCATACCGGGCTCTGATTATCTCCGGCGGTTTTGAACTGGGTATGGTGTCAAATTCCTCGTCTAGCTCATCTGGGTCAACCGTTTCTGCTTGTGATAACCGGATATCCATACCAGCTGGTATCTTAGACCTAAACCTGTAGTACCATACTCCAATCAGGACCACGTATAAAAACCCGGTTGGCACAATCAAATCAGGGTACCAAACCAGCACTAAGTATAACACATGGACTAGTACTGTAGTCACCGGGTTCCTCCACCGCCGGATATCATCCAACCATTTAGCCAACCCTACCGCCCATGCAAGCACTGCAACGATCCTGAACCAATAAGCCTTGCTTTTCCTCATGCTCCACGAGTGAGAATCCGCATCCAGCATGTAACGAACCACCTCCGGCCCCAGCGGTGGCTCCGAACGTGCCAGCCATGCTGCTACCATCTTTATCGCCGCCCCGCGCAGCGCCTCCTGCTGAGCCACCCCAAGAGGACGTAGGTAATGCATTCTTGGAAGCAATGGTCGACCATAAACAGAGCAGGTGTCGGGCAACAGCGAAGGACAGGCAAACCGAACCGCCAACTCAATCTCGCCCATTTTCTTCACCCCCGTTCTCTGCAACACCAGTAGAGGATACGAATTGGTGTACACCTTGTTGCTCTCCAGCGTAGATACTCGTATTCTTACTTTCCCTATACGGTAGTCAGGCTTGTCCTCTGAGATATCAGCAAACATTCTCCAGTTGTCGAAGACGCCGACGGTGAGAACAGTGCAAGGATCATAAACCTGCCATGTGTACTGCTCGTTCCAACGTGGATCAAAGCTATCAGTGATGGTCCTGGTGCGAACCCACTTTTTTCCGTACTTAGCCACGCAGTAAGCGTCAGTGGAGCCTTTGCCTCCGCCTTGGCTTTTCATGGGTAACAAGCCGCGAGCCCCGAGGATTCCAAGCTCGAGTATTCCAACGGCGGGTTTCCAGAGCTGCTTGGCCGTCGGCCGGAAGTCGCTGCAGACATGCGCCGCTTCGTCCAGCACATGGTATCCACCCTCCAGGCAGAGCCGCATATGAATTCGGCTATTGTACGCCACAGGCCCATCTGGGCCACATGCGGCCACACCCCCTTCTAATGCAAACCATTTGGACGCCACGTGGCGTTCGTCTATTCGTTGTTCGATCGAGCTCACCGGAATTACGATGTGACCGAGGACGACGGGTTCCTTACTGGTACGGTCCTCCACTAGCATGATCAGCGAATCCTCCAGTGGCTCACCGGCGACGAATATCAGATCCTCGTTCCAGTGAAACGACGTCGTGTGGTTGGTCATGGAACCTCTCCTGGTTCGCGCGGACTGGAACCCCAGCTGTGCTCTCACGCGAATCTCCGGAGCAGTCAAGGGAGGGAGGTTCGGGGCAATGTGGAGATCTTGAGCTTCCAGCACTTTAACTCTCAGGTACCAGAGCTTCGGCGATTGATAAACCTTCGAGCGGGTGTGCGCCACGTAAGGAGCATCAGAACACCATGCCTCGGGAAACGCGTCGTCTGCTTGAGTGCCGATCCAGACGGAGAGTTGTATATCACCGGAGACCTTCCCTGCGCTCTGATCAGCTGCGCCACCCTCCAGCCGGTACCATTGCGGGGCTAGAGGACTATCTGGAGGATCCCTCACGGGAACGTCCGACAGGTCGAAGCAGACTCCTCCTAGGAAATGCTCAGACGCTGAGTCCCAGACAGAGATCTCGAGAGTTGCGGTAGACGCGTCAGGTCTGTTGTGACCAAGTGCGAACACCTGATGCCACTCCGGAGAATCGGTCGGTTCGCCGGGTCTGTAACTCGCTGCCTTGGATCGCACGAAATGGTTCGACGTCCTGATCTTGACATATGGGCTAGCATTGAGCGCTAAAGCCCGCGCCTTCACGATCTTGATGAATAAGTACTGCATCGGTTCAACCAGATCGTAAGGATAGATCCTCTCCGTTTCTCGACCGAGTTTGCCGTTAATAACTTTCGGGGAATAGTCTCCGTTTGGTCTTCTCCAAACTCTTACTCTCTCTCCGCCAATAGGTCTCCCTGGAGTCTGCATTTTCCTCACTTCCGAAGGGTACTGAAAATCCGTGGCCTGATTCGGCGGCGGTTCAGCGTGCACATGGACAACTGGCGGCGGGGATTCCTCGATAACAACGACTGGGGGCGTCTGAAAAGGCTCTGGATGGCCGTGACAAATCTCAGCGTGAGCCGGGACTTCGAAAACCCTGCCTTCCTCAACGACAACAAGCGTTGGAGAGTTCTGCAGAGTCTCCGGCAGTGGCTGAGCCTGAGCTTGAGCCTGAGGCTGAGACCCGGCAGCATCTTCAGGAGGCGGTTGTTGCTGCGAATCTTCCTCCACCAACTCGTCGTAATAGTAAATCTTGAGCCCAATCTCCCCCCTAATCCAGCTAAAGACACTCTTCTTTTCCAACTGGAAGTAGACAAGGCCTTCTTCCCCTCTCCTGGCGAATTGGCTGCCGTACACCTTTACCCTTCCGAGGAAATGATTTTTACGGCCACTGCCATTGCCGAAGCGCTTGTCGTTGAAGACCTCGATTTCTACCTCCTCAACTTCCATGCTGTTGGGGTCGGATACTGTGAACTCCAGTGCTTCGTTCCATACTGGGTTGAGGTCCCTGTACTTGGTGGAAGTTCGTTTCTTTTGGCCATCAAAATCTACCACGACGTAAGCACTGGAGCTTCCCTGACCATCTTTGGGAAGCAGGTCACGTGCTTCCAGGACCTCGACGATTAGCTTGCGCACTATTCTTGGCTGCGGTGGCGGTGGCTGAGACGGCGTCGTCATGGTATCATCTTTTTGCATTAAAAAAAGAAAGAACACTAAAAGAAGATTGCAGCTTTTAGGTTCTTCCTTGGCTAGTACAGAAAATTGGAGAATTATATGGGTTCTTTGAACACGCTCAGAAAAGAGAGAAGAAGAGCGTCGCGTTGATAGCGGAGATATGCTTTTGAGGTAAGCTTTTTTGAATTAATTTAGCCTTGGCATATAGTAACAGTAGGTAAATTCCTCTTTTTTCCATTTTTTTTAAATGTTTTTGGTTGTTGTTATCTTACCTGAGCTTATCTGATTTCATGTTTAACCTTAATCTTGCTTTAGTGGTGATTTCAGATCATGTAGGAGAGAGAAAGAAAGAAGAGAATGTTTTTGTGATGGGTGGAGTGTTCATGGTTGCTGAGATAGTGGGAGATTTGATTCCATTCTCTCTCGCCAAGGTTTCATCTCCACTTTTTGGCTTCCGTCCTTTACAGGCCCATTATGCCCTCTCATTCTCCCTTCATTGTTTAATTATATTACTTACTATTTTATTATTCTTTCCTTATTTCTACTGGTAACTTATTATTCTTTGTTTTACTTTGTTAGTATTATTATTCTTTCATGTTAGTCTCATTTTGTTCCAATCAAATCTGCCATTTGTCTTGTTGAGCTTCTCCATCAGAAAGTTTGACTTGAGAGTCCATGATTTAGTTTTTAGCTTCTTTTTTTCTCCTTTGGCATGAGATGTTAGTTAAAATTCCCTCCCTGCCCCAATAGTTTAATGGGACAAGGTTTCTTTCATGTAATTCTGATTTGCCCTTTTATTTCATAAAAAAAAAAACCCCTTCAATCATTATAGTTTTGTTGGGTTCTAGTAAGTTTTAATGTTCTGATGTGTATGATAATTCCAGAAGAACTTGGTTCCATCTCCAGAGTCAAGTGAGTGGAAGATATGGTTAAATTTTCTTTTAGGGAAGATGAGATAGTCAATTAATCACAAAAAATGGTATGAAAAATTTTTCCTAGCAAGTGCGGAAGTGGTACCAAAAATTTTTTGTCTTGGGTGCTGTAGCTGGAGTAAAATGGAATTATGGAGGAGCCACATAGTCAGAGAACATAGGTGAGATGCCACTGCAGGGCACATGATTCCACCTCCAAAACATGGCCCTCTCCTTTTTGTCAAAAGCGCATACATTTTGAATAAAGTTCCAACCACAAAGCATCGCCTTTATTTCCTCTTGGGCCTCTTGTTCTTTCTCTTGACCCTTATGTCAACAGAGCAAAGATTAAATGCTTACCTTTTTTCTACTATGCACTTGGCGGGAAACAATTGTATTCATGAAGCTGCTGTTTCCTCTCTCCCTCCCTCCTCTATCTGTTGTTTTTTTTCTCTCTATATTTTACTTTCTTCCCTGGTTTTCTTTTCCTTTTTTTATCAATGGCGTAGATTCACTCATTTAGTTTATTTTTGGGTATAATGCCTACACTTCAAGATAATGTAGTAGAACCACTAAACCAGATGAAAGGAAATATTACATGGAAATTGGGAGAGAACCAAATACCCAACACAAATAATGTAGTAGTGGTTTACCATATCCATGTGAAGTGGAACCACTGAACCACACGTACATCTTTTTTTTGTGGTGCCTTTATCTATTTGCCTTTTGGCCAAAAGTGATTGCAACTATCCTATGCAAACATAACATGTTAAAGTCGCGTGAAGCTGACTTCATCTACGTTAGGTATGACTCAGGAAACAGAGTTGAAGCTCACATTAACGGATACAACTCTGATTATCCCAAAAACTTGCTCAAAAACATCAACCTCCAACCCGTACTAAACATTCTCATCTGGGACCACAGGTCAGAACTTTGGGCACACATGCCAAAGAAGCTTCTCCCTCCACTGTTTGGCGCCTTTTCAGTTGGTATATTGCTTATGGAATCTGATCCTATGGGGCAAATAATTTTTAATAGATATTATTCTGCTGTCAGCATATTTCTGTTGATGGTTAGTGGAAGAGATCAATGCAAAAGCTCACCATATGCTTAAGAATATTAACCAAAAAAGGAATAGCCAATGCATGAAGCCTATTATTTTGATTCATTACTTTGTAACCTAATGAATCCTATCTTACCCTTGAGTTTAATAATTTCCTTCTAATTTTGTTTAGGAAGCTAGTTTTCATGGTTCCTTTTAGATAGGAAAATTGAAATCTCTTAAGCTACCCTTAAGTCCCATCTCCAAACATCCTACCTGGACTTGAACTTAGAATCAATAGTGTGCCTGTGCTTGTAAGAGCACAGGAGCTGCTAAAGTTGCAGGCGGGAAGGTGCTGGTCGTTTGCATATGATTATAACCATGTTCATTAACTGCAGATTCAACATCATTTGATAACAAAATTTGCTTAGCAGTTGTAGTCATATGTAACATAGGGAAGTAATCCTTTTATTTTGTAGCTATCATGTATGTCAAACTCTTTTAATATCCTTCCTCAGAAAAAAAATCATAAATAGCAAGATTTTTATGATTTAAAGGGATAAACAATACTATATTTATCCCTTTAATATGTACAAGATTTATCTACTGACCAAGATGCCTCAAAATGGATTTTCACGCCCATCTAAAAAAGTCAAGTGGAGATCTTCCTTACAAATCATATACCAGAAATCTGAAATCTGTATTTTGTGTTTAAACTTGACAGTTGAATTATTAAACCCACATGAACAATGTCTTAAGGGAACTGCTAATTATTGCATCAAGTTTGAAAGGAGTCCTGAAGTGAGATTTCTTCAGTTCAAACAATGGTTGAGCTTAGTCTGTGGATGATTTCAAGAGCATTTCAGTTTATGTTTTAACCTGATCAGGTCTGTTCAGGTGGAAATCAAGGAAGAAGTAAACTGTTGCACAATCAATGGTGGGAGCCGACTTTATGGCTATTGCAGCTATTGTGAACCAAGCCATTTGGCTTAGAAAATTGCTAGCGGATTTAGATCAGTCGCAAGTCATGCCAAACAATATTCAGTATTTGCCAAGAATCTGATGTTCCATTAAGAAATAAGCATATTATGATAGAGTTTCACTCTGTGAAAGAAGCAGAAAGGAAGAAGAAGTTTACCAGATGTCAGGTCTGGAAAAAAATTGGCAGATGTCTTTACCAAGAATTGACAAAATCCAGGTTTGGAAATTCGGAAAGGGTTGATGGAGTTCTTCAACAAAAGCACTGAGGAAAGTTAAAGGTTGACATTTTACTGTTAAATCTCTTTTACACCTTTTATCT